CAAAATTCTTCTAAGGTTTTTTCTGTGTTTTCCTTGGTCTGCCTCTCAATCCTTTGAAGATACCTAAAGATAATTCTTTTGAATTCCTTATCAGAGAATTCCAATGCTGCTTCTTCCTCAGGGATGTGTTCTGGGTCTGTATCCTGTTTCCTTGTTTCTACCACTTTATCTTGCTTCTTTTTGTGGACTGTGATGGTCTGTGGTCTCGGAGGCATTGTGTTGTTGTATTAAGATCTCTGTTAGTTTTTTGTGAAGAGCAGCCAAGGGTGATTCAGGCTCTTCTTGGTGGTTTTTTATCATTGGCCTATTGGTGGAGAAGGAGGTGCTGGCTCTTGCTCAGTTAGTGAAGTTGCAGGAGGGTTGGGTGTACTTGTATCTTATGGGTACTGTTGCTGTCTCCCACTCAGTTAGGCAAAAATTAGAAGTGAATAATTATAATAAAACTAAAAGCACATGGTCTAAAAATATACTATGAAATCACACAGGAACAGTAACCCAAAAAAATAAAAAGGGGAGAAAAGAAGAAGAAAACAGGAAAACCTGCAATATCTGGGGATAGGTCACTAAGAGAAAAATGCTAGAGAATGAGAATAATGAAGGGAAAAATGCAAAAAAAAGAAAAAACCAACAAGGAATGGGATTAACCACAAGAAAAAAAAGGGGGGGGGGGAAGATGAGAAAGAAAAAAAATTTTTCAATCAGGAACTGGGAAAAGAAAGCAAAAAAAAGGTGTAGACTAGGACCTTTTCAGTTGTGCAGGTCTGGAGAGTTCTTGGGGTTACTGGAAAGCAAATCCCTTCTTAAGCCCCTGGAATCTGGTAGAGCACTGTGTCTTTAGGTTGTCTCTAGGTTCTGGTTACGTGTTGATTTATTTTGTCTTGGTTTTATGGTTTAATATTTTGAAAAGGTGAAACTGGTATATTTTATTTTATTCTTGATTCAGGTGTGTTGGGTCGCTCTGCTGTTTTCTTTGTGATGGTGGAATCACTGTGTGTGGATATGTTTTTCTGTTTGTTGTAAAGAGGGCATAGAGTTTGAAGCGGGAGGTTTTATGGTAATTGGCTGAATATGGTTTCTTCTATTGAAAGAGTGAAGTTATTGGCAGAGAAGGCAGGAGCAGAAGGAAATCTTGGTGATGCTAGGATCGGTTTCTAGGGCTTTGTGCAGGCTATTATTGATGACGTAGTTATTTACAAGACCACGGCTCAATCTCAGGAAAGATGCCTGTTGTTAGGGAGTCACCACTTTCCAGCAGGCTCAGACACACTCAAAGACTGCTTCTGAGGCCCCTCAGTGCCAAAGAGCCAATCCAAGGCAAATTCCTGGGACTGCACTCAGCCACAGTTTCCTCTCTCTCCCCACCCCATCTGCCTGCCGTGCTGGCGCAATCCCACCAGACTGCTGATGGCTCTGGAGTTTATCTGTGATACGCCCACCTGCAGCGCAAAAGATGCGCGCAATTTCAGCTGTGTTGGAGTCAGGGGAGTACCCGCCAGTGAACTGTGATCCCAATATCCGTGACAAAGATAAGCACGATGTCTCCCAGGCTGACCTAAGCACTCTCAGCAACCCGCTGAGAGGTTAGGGAGCTCGCCTTACTGGCGCAACAGTGAGCTCTCTGCTTGAGTCTCAGTGGTGGTGCGCATGCCCACCTGCACTCAGATGAGTCAAATTACCGACAGAATCAGGTGCTGGAGGCAGGCAGATCCCTGGGGCTGCCCGCTGGCATATTGGAGTGATCGCTGGTATGCTGGTACAGGGTGTCTTCCTTCTTGGCTCACGGGGATCTCTGGTGGCTGCCCTCACCCTCCAGCCAGTGACTGCCCCAGGGAAGCTTCCAATGGCCTCTCTTGGCTGCCCATCCATCCTCCGCCAGGTAGCTCTTTCTTAAATAATCTCCCTGTGCCTTTCCTCTAATTCTGCTCTTCTGTGTTTGGTGCACTCTGATGCAGTGAGCTGTTCAGAGCACCAAAATCCCTAATTCAAACTTCTGTACCTAGTTTTTCAAACACTTAGATGCTAGAGGGAAATAGCATGGTACTTACTGACGAGACTCCATTTTGAATCCTAGCCATCACTCTTTATAAACTATACTGAGAGGTCCAGAAATTAATGAGAGTAATTCAGATTTCGATATCATGGAAGGCTTCATGAGGGATACTGCTTTTGCGTTCACCTCACAAAGTCAGGTAGTATTATAACATTTAAAGCAGGAGGAGTAGGCGGAAGAAATAGCCTGAGCTAAAAGATGAAAAGGAAAAAAGTATAATATTTTTTAGGGAATAGTAGTGATAAGTCTAAGATGACAGGAATTTAGGATTTATGAAATGCAGCAAAAAAAAAAAACCTGGAAGAATCCATTTCCTCAGTTGTTCAGTAGGGATGACGATCAAAGTACCCTCACTTACCAGGTTATCATTAAGTACTTTGCACTGTGCTAATACAGAGTAAGCTTCAAGAAATGTAATCTATTAACTATTATGTGATGTATCAAATTCTGTCTGATGCTGTTATTGTTATGTGCCATGGAGTTGATTCTGACCACTTTCCAGCAGAAAAGTATCTGGAAAGTATCATTACCCCACTTGACAGATGAAGACCTTGAGACACAGAACAGTGATGAACATACTCATGGTCACAAATCTTTTTAGGTGGAAGGAGTTAGGATTCTGACTCCAGAAATACTAACTATGCAAAATTCTTAGAATATGTCTTGACATTAATTCTATATACTTGATTATGTATTATTTCTATTCATAATTTAATGAGGTGGTTTTTTTTTTCCTTTAAGGTGGTGTGGCACTTAATGCAAGATGAATTTATACGCCAATACAAGCACTTTGAAGGCTTGATAGCTCGCTGTTATCCTGGGTCTGGTGTTACAATGGAATTCACGATTCAGGACATTTTGGATTATTGCTCCAGCATTGCACAGTCCCACTAAACCTTGTGAAAGAAGATCTGATAAAGCACCAGACACTATTCAGAAATCTTAAGCTACTGTTCTGAGAACCCAGACTTAAAACATACAAAAAAAAAAAAAAAGGGTAATACCACGCTACAAACCTATATGTACAAACCTGTATGGCATTTTTATTTGGCCATTAGATGTGTACTAACTTAAAGCATTTATCTCATCATAAAATGCCTTTACATTATTTATGACTCAACAGGAAAGTTTCCCTTTTTGCCTAGCTTCTTGTGTTTGAGTTACTACCCTATATGTAAAGCATTGGGAGTTCAGTTTTCACTAATTCTCTACTACTAATAAATCATGTAACTACTAAAATACTTTACAGAATCATTTTGTCCTCTCTAATTAATGTAGATATGTGTAAGGAAGCTAATGTGTTGACCAGTTGTTAACTTGGATTTTGAGGATTATGTGACTGTGTAGCAAAAACTATGTCAATCTGAAATTTAAAAAGTTTCAGAAGTTACATTTGTTGATAACACTCTTCAGTCTCTTATGTGCTCCTTTCTATATAAAACAGATTCTTACAAATGAATGCACAAAAATTAATTGCATATCCATATACCAAAAAACACTTTTAAAATGTAATAATAAAAAGGTACCATTTATAAAAACATCAAATAATTATTTAGTAAATAACGTAACAAAATAAATGTAAAGCAGTCATGAGAAAATTTTTAAACTATTAAAAGATAGTAAAGAAGGCCTAAGTAAGTGGAGGGTGCGCAGGATGGTGCAGACTGTTAACATGCACGACTGCTAACTGAAGGGTTAGAGGTTTGCTCTGGTGATAATACTTCCAAAAATTCAGCTACTGAAAATCTTCTGGAGCACATTTCTACTCACACACAACTGGTTTGATTTTTTAAAATAAGTGGAGGAATTTTTCACATTTGCAGATAAGAATCAACCTAGTAGACATGACAGTTATTCCCAAATTGAGTCAATATAAGTGGAAACAACAACAACAAAAAAATTGTTTCTGTGGAACTGAACAAACTGATGTTCAAAATGTATATGAAGAAACAAAATGCTAATAGCCAAGACATTGCTGAAGAGCAAAGTGGGAAAAGTTGCCTTACTAATTATAATTAAAGCAATGATGTACTGGTGTAAGGGTTGAAAATCAAATTAAACTGAGAGCTCAGAGTCACACTCACATAAATATGAACTCATGACGTGGCATGGCAAATGAATGGGAAGAAGACTTGGAATGTTACTTGGACTACTGGTTGTACACAAGACCCATTGCCATCGAGTCAGTTCAGATTCATAGTGACCCTGTAGGGCACTGTAGAACTGCCACATCTTTCTCTTATGAAGCAACTGGTGAGTTTGAACCACTGACCTTTTGCTTAACAGCTGAGTTCTTAACCACTGCACCACCAGAGTTCCTTTATGCATAAGCGAAAAGGTAAACATTTAGCCCTGTTTCACATCACATACAAAATGAACCAACATGGATTGGATACCAAAGTGTGAAAATTATATTACTGAAGACAATGTAAGAGAATAGCTTTTTTGACTTGAGGACAGGGGATTTTTGTTAAGATGCAAAATGACAAGTCATAAAGGGAAAAACTGATAAATTTCACTACATTAAAATTGAGAACTGCAACTTTTGACAAAAGTGAGATAAACCACATTGAGAGAAGAAAACTGCAACATATATAACAATCAGTATCTGTATTTTTTGCAAAACTAACAGTCAGTGAAAAAGACAAAACCAGGAGATATACATAAAGGACAGAAAAAAAATCTTGAAGGGCATTTCACAGAAGGAAGCCAACTGGCTAATGAAGCATATGAACTGCTCATTTTATTTGTTAACCAGGGAAGTGTGCATTAAATTAAAAATGATTTGAAGCCACCAAAACACAAATGCTTCGAGAAGATGCATAAATTAATAAATCACTTAAACAACTGGACGTTACAGAGTTAAGAGGTGTGAAACCTGTGAGTCAGCAGTTCCACTCGTGGGTATGTGCTCCAAAGCACAACCTTAACTGTTTATTAGATCATCTGGGGTCCTTGTAAACTGCAGCTTGCTGCCTGGGCCTACTTGGAGGTAACAAATTCCAGTTGATCTTGGGTGGGGCCCAGGCATTTATAGTCTTACCAATACCAGTGATTCTGGTACTCAGTGTTGAGAACCATTTCACAGAGAGACTGGTATACTAGGCATTAGTACAAAATTTTTTCTGTAGTTTAATTTTTCATTGTGGTTTAGGTGAAAGTTTACAGAGCAAGTTGGTTTCCAACTCCATAGTTTGTACACAAAGTGTTGCATGATATTGTTTGCATTCCCCATGTGTCAGCACTCTCATTTCTACTGTAGGTCCCTGTTTTTCTTTCATCTGAATTTTCTACCCCTTCCTGCCTTCTAAACTTTGTTTTTGGGAAAATTTTGTCCTTTTGATCTCCTGTAATTCATTGTTCTAAGGAATGTGTTCTTAGATGTTATATTTATTTTATGGGCCTGTGTATTGCTTGGATGAAAGATGGTCTCCAGGAATGACTTAAGCTCCAGGTTAGAAAGGTGTCTTACAGCCATAATCTCAAGGTTCTTCTAGTTTCTGTAAGACCAGTAAGTCTAGTCTTTTTTGTGAACTTGACTTTTTATTCTACATTATTTTTCTCACTTTGTCAAGGACACTCTGCTGTTATCCCAGTCAGTGATAAGTACTAATAGCCGAAAACCATCAAGTTCTTCTGGTCTTAGTGTCATGTAGTCTGGTTCATGTGGTCCCCTAGTTCTCCCTTGAGTCTTTGGTTTTCTTCAGTCTCCTTTGCTCTGGACAGGAAGAGACCAATAGTTGTATCTTAGATGGCCACTAGCAAGCTTTTAAAACCACATACACTACTCACCATAGTAGACTGCAGAACATTATCTTTATGAACTATGTTGTGCCAATTATATACGTGTCCCTGAGACTATGTCCTTCAAGCCTAGGAACTTTGTCCTGTGAGGTGTTTGGTAATGTCTAAAAAAGTTTCCATGACTGGGCCCATTGTGTGCTCTATTGTCTATATTAATCAACATGCAGCATCTGCAATTATGTCTGTAGAAATATCCACAACCAAACCTATATGTGCAGGTGAGTGTGCTCCCTTATACCCTCCCTTATGTCTTTAGCATACTTAACTATCTATGTATCCGTTTGTAAATTATCATCTGTTAATACTATTATTGCAGGATTGTCCATGTTACAGTAATTACTCGTTGTTGTTGTTAGGTACCATCAAGTCAGTTTCACATCATAGTGACTCTACTTAAAACAGAAGAAAACACTGCCTGGTCCTGCGGCATTGTCACAATCATTGGTATGCTTAAATCTATCATTGCAGCCATTGTGTCAATTCATCTTGTTGAGGATTTTCCCCTTTTTGGCTGCACTTCAACTTTACCAAACATGATATCCTTCTCCAAGGACTGGTCCCTTCGGATAACATAACAAAAATACGAGAGACAAAGTCTGGCCATTCTCACTTTAAGGAGCATTCTGGCTTACAAGACAGATTTGTTTGTTTTTCTAGTAGTCCATGCTACTTTGAATATTCTTCACCAACAACATAATTCAACTGCATCGATTCTTCTGTCTTCCTTACTCATTCTCCAGCTCTAACATGCAGACGAGGTTATTGAAAAGACAATAGTTTGGGTCAGGTGCACTTTCATCTTCAAAGTGATAGTTTTGCTTTTTAACACTTTAAAAAGGTCTTTTGTAGCAGATTTGCCCATGCAATACGTTATTTGATTTCCTGACTGCTGCTTCTATGGATGTTGATTGTGGATTCAAGTAAAATGAAATCCTTGACAACTTCATTCTTTTCTCCATTTATCATGATGTTTATTGGTCCAATTGTGAAGATTTTTGTTTGCTTTATATTGAGGTGTAATCCATAATGAAGGCCGGAGTCTTTGCTCTTCATTAGTAAGTGCTTCACCACCTCACCTCACTGCCATTGAGTTGGATCTGACTCATAGTGACCCTTCCTTGGGTTTCCAATTGCTTCACTACAGAAGTAGATTGCCTAACCTTCCTTCTGAGGAGTGGCTGTGGGTTTGAACCACCAGCCTTCTGTTTATCAAGTCAAATGCCTTAGGCACTACGCCACCAGAACTCCTAGTAAGTACTTGAAGTCTTCTACAATTTCAGCAAGCAAGATTTAGTCATCCACAGGTTGCTAACGAGTCTTCCTCCAATCTTGATGCTGCATTCTTCTTCATATATCCAGATTCTCAGATTATTTGCGCAAAATACAGATTGAGTAAGTACAGTGAAAGGATACAACCTTGACATACACCTTTCCTAATTTTAAACAATGTACTGTTGAAACGAGTGCCTTGTGGTCTATGTACCCATCTACCTATATACATGAGCACAATGAAGTGATCTGGAATTCTCATTCTTTTTAATATTATCCATAATTTGTTATGATCCATGCAGTGGAATGCCTTTGCATAGTCAATAAAACACAGATAAACATCTGTCTGGTATTCTTTGCTTTCAGCCAAAATCCGTCTGACATTAGCAATGATATCCCTTGTTTCACATCCTCTTATGAATCCACTTTGAATTTCTAGTCCCTGTCTGTGTATTACTCCAACCATTTCTTTAATTATCTGCAGCAAAATTTTACTTGCATATGATATTAATGATACTGGTTGGTAATTTCCACATTCTGCTGGATCACCTATCTTTGGAATGAGTACAAATATGGATCTCTTCCAATCTGTTGGCCAGTTAGCTGTCTTCAAAATTTCTTTGCATAAACAAGTGAGTACTTTTCGGCATGGCATCTATTTGTTGAAACATCTCAATAGGTATTCCACCTCCTGGAACCTTATTTTGACCAGTTCCTTCAGTGCAGCTTGGACTTTCTTCTTCATTACCACTGGTTCTTGATCACATGCTACCTCCTGAAATGGGTGAATGTTGGCAAACTCTTTTTGGTAGAGTGACTCTGTGTATTCCTTCCATTTTATTTAGATGATTCCTGAGTCATTCAATATTTTATCCATAGAATTCTTCAATATTGCAACTCAAGGCTTATATTTTTTCTTCAGTTCTTTCAGCTTGAGAAATGCTGAGCGTGTTTTTCCCTTTTGGTTTTCTAACTTCAGGTCTTTGCACATTTCATGCTAATACTTTACTTTGTCTTCTCAAGCTGCCATTTGAAATCTTCTGTTCAGTTATTTTACTTCATCATTTCTTCCATTTGCTTTAGTTAAAGCTCCATTCAAGAGCAAGTTTCAGAATCTGTCCTGATATTCATACAGTCTTTTCTTTCTTTTCTATCTTTTCTTGTTTTTTTCAATTGTGACTTGGGTGAAGATTTACAGAGCATATTCACTTTCCATACAGCAGTTCATATATACTTTGTCTCATGTCATTGACCACAGTTTACTACAATGCAACAGC